AAATGGTATTAAATTAGAAAATATCAAATGGCAAAACAATTGAACATAAATTTCAATATTAGAGATGGGCCTTTAAGCAACTTTTCTTATTTCTTTTAAAAAGACTTTGAAGAAAAAAAATTCAACACAAGCAACTTTCTTCAGGAAAGCAAGAAACCGTAGGAAATCATTTCAAAATGCTCTTGAAAATAAATTTCAATATGCGATAATATCATATAATGCAAATAATTTACTCATTAGGTGACCACATATCTCCAAGATGGTATAAATAACCAAAGCTACCATGGGAGACAAAAAGACGAACCTCACCAGTGGCTGCATCCTTCTTTGCTTGTAAAGTAGCAACTATACCCAAACACTTCTTTATGTCTGGAATCTTTGCCTGACAGGATGGAAGGGTAACAGCAAAGGATGATAGTTAGGCCACAAGCATTATGGTTCCGTAACATTTAAGTAGCTAAACATTAAATACTGACTTTAACTATGAGAAAATACTAACTCTTACTTGACTTTCTAATCAAATACAAGTACACATTTTTAATAGTAAAGTCCCATTTTTCATAAGGCGGGAGCCTAACTATGATGCTGAGAGCCTGAGGCAGATACTTTCTTCATTAAATCAAACATGCATCACCTACACACACTAGCCATGTACCTTAGCTTGCATCTGAATATATATAATCTAATTTCAGGGCTCACAAATGCAGTTCATGTTATCTGCCAATGATCATAGTAGAACTTGTAATTTCTTAAACTCCATCATTTTTAATCTGATAGCTCCTTAATTTAGAATGATTTTAATATGTAAAATTATCAATTATTTAGCTTATACCCAGTTTGGATTCAATAAATGTGACGAATAGAAACAGTATCTGACAATATTCCATAACTTCAGCGTGAGATGATGAGCATGTAAAAGAAAAATCTGGAAAAACAGAAAGAAAGTACCCTAAAATTAAAAAAATAATAATAAAAAAAATAAAAATAAAACATCAAACCTGCAAGTCCCTTTGTTGAGCAAGGAGTTTCATCTCAACTAACTTGTATTGCTGAAGTCTGCATGAGATATTTGCAGAGTATAATAAAAAAAAGGAAAACAGGGCGTTAAACTTAAGAAACAAATATGAATATCTTCCCGCATGGATCCTATTTTGTAAAGCGTAGGAAAGAGTTGAATAAAGCAGCATTTATTCGCTACAATCTACTAACAATTTTCACGTGTTCGAGTGCAGAGAGAGTTCCATGATTCACATCAAGTACACAGCAACACTAAGCTAAGTCATGGAAACTAATGCATGTAAAGCTCTAAGAGATACACTCAAAAAAGTCGAGGAGCTCAAAAAGATAGCTCTAAATCACACAAACTGAATCCAGCAGACTTCAACGATGATGTAACTCTAAGAAAACCACAAAAACGAAAATTCTAGAAAGTTCGATTCACTCTCAGCCACTAGAAACGAGTAAAGTTCCAAAAAAAAAAAAAAAAAAGTAGAGCTGCAATACCACGACTAAACAAAAAAGTTCAACTTCACTAACACATACATCAAGTCATGAATGCCTTAATTGGAGCCTACAACATAGAACAGGACTTCAAAGTGACAGAAAACAATAATCAAGAACTCAGAAAATCACTAAAAGTGACAGAAAGCAAGACACAAAATCAAAAACATCAATAGACAAGAACTACAACGACATTTCCGGATTTGAATCAAGTGAAAATAAAAATAGAACGAGAGAGTACCGCTCCTGGAGAAAAGCAAGGGCGGATTGAACATCGAGGCCTAAATTAGAGAGATAAGTACGAACGTCCTCCACGAACTGAGCCGCCGGAATTCCTCTTCTGTCACTGACAACGGTGCCGGAAGAAGAAGAAGAAGAGGAAGACAACGATGCGGTAGCCATTTCCGATTGGAAGAAAAACCCAAAACCTCCGCAAAATAAAAATCAAAACAACCAATAAATTTCTTTTCTGGAAAATGAGATTCAACGACCCAACTTGTGCGAGAATGAAGATGACTAAACGACGTCGTAGATATCAATATCTAAATGGGTCTAAATGATTTGGGCTTGGGCTGCCACCGCCAAGAAAGATTATTGGTTTGGGCTAAAGGCCCAATGAATCAGTTTTTGTGGATTTATTTTTATAATAATTTATGAAGAGAAATTAAAATAATTACGAAAATAACACCAAATTTGGTATCACAAACTTCCCATTCTTTTATCGTATTCATAATAATCATTCAAAATGTACTTTAAGTATTTAATTTTATATTTTTAATCTCATAAATACATTTTAAATTCAAAAATTAAGGAGATAAGTAGACCCGAATTTTAGTTGAATAAATCAATCGAGAAATTTGACTAATCAACCAAAACCTAAATCAAAATGTTTTTCAAATTAAAACGTGTATCAAACAATATTTGTCGAGACACTATGTGAGATCACATATTAGTTGGAGAGGGAAACGAAACATTCTTTTAAAGACGTGAAAACCTTTAAAATCGATTTTTTTTTTCATATTTCCGTTACTCAAACATTTCTAAAATCGAAAAAATAAGATAAATATAAAGTAAATATCAATTTAAGCATAATTCATATGAATTGATACCCGTGTTTTGTTTGATCGAGGATACACATTTTTTCTTAAATATTATTATTATTATTATTATTATTATTAATGAATGAAATCCTATTATTATTATTATTATTATTTACTTAGATTGCAATGATTGGTTCAAACATTCTTATGATTGGGTTTTGATATTATCACCCAAAGATCGAAGATTTCAAGATAACCAAGGCAACTTGTTTGACTAAAGTTCTTAAATTATCTGAGATTTTGGAGAAAATGTGGCTCCTTCAAATTGACAAACAAATTATATATATTTTTTTTAATTAATGAATATTTTATGTTCTTCTTTTAAACCTAGAGTCCGTTCCACAACCGCCCTTAGATATCAATTTGTTTTTTTAGTTAAAGACATTACGTCTACCTTTTGCATATATGTTCACGAGCTATCGAACTAGCGACATTAAGTCTAAGCTAATAGTTGTTTTGTTGTGTCGATATCTGAGTTTATATAAACTCGAACTATCATCATTTTTTTTTCAGAACATAAAAATGAAAAATTAATCATCGACCAAACAAGATGAAAATCTGTAAAGAGAGGAGCGATCAAATGCAAAACTACCGACTCCTCTTGAAATTGCATTATTGGAGACAAGCTAAGAACGAGCGTTTGTGGACACCCACCACTTTATACTTAAGTTTAAAATATTTAAAAAATTGAGGGATTTAAAAAAAAGAAAAAAACTAAACTATTAAAGATCAAATATATAATTAATCGGAAGGTTGAAAATTGAGACTGGAGTGAATATTTAAGGTAAGGAAAGGACGAAGTCCCAATTTTTTATTGAATCTTTTAATTTCTTGATTGATGTATTTATTGAACTATGCTCGAATCGGTTAATATTAAATAATTAAAAAAATAATATTTAATATTTTAATTTAAAGTTTAATTTTGGAAGCCAGGAGAAGGATGAGTCACCATTTTCTCTTTTACTTAGGATTTTTAGTGGGGCCGGCCACTTGACCCATCCACGTGGGTTTGCTTTATAATTATTATTTTTATTTAAAAAAAAAAGGAAAGAAAAAGAAAAAGAGAGAAAAAGAAAAGGTGTGGTTTAGAAGAGGCTTTTGGCTTTATTGGTGGTGGCCTCACTCACTCACATGGGAGAAAAAGAAAACGCATAAAAATACAAAACCAATATTACAAATTCCAAACTGGGGTTTTGCTTACGTGGCCAAACCTATACATATATGGGTCCCACATGTTGCCTTGTGCCTTGACATGTCACATGCACCTTCCTCACTTTCCTTTTTTTTTTTTTTTTTTAAGGAACTCATTGGATGACGTGGACAAATCAATCGATTCAATTATGAATTTATTTGGAATGGATTGGTTCACGAGTAGGACACATACGAAATGAGTTTTTATAAGAACTTTAGATACTCGTCTACTAAAAAGTTGTAAGGGAGAAAGAAAAAGGAAAATGTACCCGACCAGAGATATTAGTAAACACAGCTATCGGTCCCTTTGTTATTGCCAACCGAGTTGATTCATGGATTTTTTAAAACTAAAAGAACCAACCGGAAGTTATTAATTTTGTAAAAAACATATTTTTGCTTAAGATATATATATATATATATATATTTAATTATTTAGAAGGTGATTTTTTTTTTTTAAGAAAAAATAATATCTTCAAATCTAGTTCAAGTTCATAGTTTTCCACCAATAATAACCAAATAAATCTAAAAAATGATGAAACTTATTAATAAGGTTATGCATAATATAATTATAAACTATGCATATTTGAAGTCATTTTTCTTCTCCGTAAATTTAACTTCAGCTACTCTCACTCGTACAAACTTGAAACACCAACCACCCCAAACAACCATAACATCGGAAAGTGCACAAAAGATATGGCTAGTCTCCTTATTCTATTATCGGTGCAAGATCAAAAGATATAAGTTCATCAGATCAAATAATTTAATTTTAAACTTTCAGTTTTATTCCCGGGCTATAAAAAGCTCAATCTTTGAATTTTATGCCTAATCTCAAAATTATCAATTTTGTACACGGTAGAATATTGACATATTGACATGATTTAAAACTACTCAACCCAAGAACCGACCTATACAAACTAATATATGTAAAACAAAGAAAAATCAAGAAAATAATATGTGGTTTATGCCGATTACGGGAAGGGGGGAAGAAAGGAGAAATGAATCTAGTTTTGCAAACAGAAAAGATCTTATGAGAGAACGCACCCATGATTTGATCGACAGAACATTTTCACGAGTAAGGAATCTCAAGATTAAAGAGCCCAGATTCAAGAACAAAATGATGATAAACAGAGACCCCCGCCAACATTATCTGAGTTTAATTTTATCCACATTCCCATACGAAGATTTTTAAAATATAATAAGAATTGCACACAGAAAATGCAAGAACTCGATATATATTCATATATTGACACGAAATTACATGCAGAAGAGAAGCAGGAGAGGAAGGGAATTTTTTTTTTCTGGTTTTTTGTTTTTTTTCCTTTTATTTTCAATTGTTTTCTGGGAAGAGAAAACTGCAGCCGGTGAGTGTGTGGTAATCAGGTAGAAGAAGGTTGGGAGATGGAAGAATCCATACCAGAAGAAGACGAAGAAGAGCTTGAAACCAAGTTGAATATGGCGCTCATGACTCGGATCTGCATCTCCAGTGCGGGTATGTAATCAGTTGCTTCATCCAGAATCACCGGCAGTGGTTGCTTCCGGCAGCCGGGAACCAGCCGGCCGAGAAGCCGGACTTTTCTCTGTACAGTAGGTAATCCCTTCCCTTTCAACCGCAAAACGCTAACTCTCGGCTTCTTCGTTCGGCTGCTTCCACTCACACTCGCCTTCTGTCGATTGTGCTTTCGAAACTTGAGCTTCAGACGGTTCGTCAAGATTGCTCTGCTCCACCTACTTCTTCCTTTCGCCGTCATCGCCAGAACCGTATCCGCCGCCTCCCGAACGGCTTGGCCACGCCGTGGCATCTCGTTCGGCGCCGATGGGGAATAAGGAGGACTGATCCTGACCTGACTCAAGGCGCGCAACAGCTTCGACGAGTAAACTTGATGCTGCGCTTGTGATTTCCACTTCAAGTGATTCTGATCTTGACGACCGTCCTCCCTCGCCGCTTTCTTCTTCTTTTTCTTTCTGGACGAATCACGCGATCGCTCAGAACTCGCCACAGGATTCAGAAACAGAGACGACGCCATTAAAAACCACACACCGATCCAAAATTCAAGATATTGTCTCACTGCCGCAACTACCAAGCTCTTTCTTCAAAAATGATTCCACACCGAATCCTGTACGCCACTACCTTCCTGACCTCCCAGATCAACTCAACTCCTCCCTAACAAAAAAACAGAAAGCACAAACGTAAATTCACCGATTCAAGAACACTAAAACAAAAAGAGAACAGTTCTACTTCCATTCCGCTTCATCGAAAACAGCAATCAATAAACCACAAATTCCACATAATCAATCAACAAAAACAAGAACAAACAACCAAACCAAATCCAAAGAAGGCAAGACAATGAAATCAAATCAACACAAGCAGTCAATGAAGCAAAAACAATCACGATGAAGAGCAAAAGCAAACAAAACAGTCAGAAAAGAACGCGAGAATCCAATAGGACTGATACCTTTGACGCCGGGTCGGAGAGAAATGAAACCGGAATTCCAGAGGACGGTGGCGTAGAGATAGAGAGAGAGAGAGACAGAGTTAGGAGGAAAACGGAACGGAGAGAGAATGAAGTTTCGGAGAGAAAGCGGGAACGGTGAGTAGAGAGGTTATAAAGAGAATTAAAAAGATAAAAGAGCATAATTTTCTAAACTTTAATTAATTTTAATAATGATGAAAATTTAGTAAAGTTTAAGATGAAAACTAAATTAAAGAATATTATACAAAAATAGCAGAAAAACTAAGTTTGGTTTCTTTTTCACTTCACATCATGATCCATCGCAAAACTTTGACTTTGACTTTTATCGGTTTGGCCCGTTATGGGTACCCGAGATGACCGAGGTGCCCGAACAATTAGTTATGGTGAAAAAAGTTTTGAGGCACTAGGCTCAGGCTTGCATGTGGCCCTATGCCCCACTGCTGCCAGATCCCCCGCCCCATCAAACTTCCACTTTAAATTTAAATCTCTCTTACTTTATTATTCTTTTTTTCCCCCTCACAAAAAAAATATATATAATTCATTCAACCCTTTATACTTTGCTTTCTTTAATTACAACTCATCTTTCAATTTTCAATTTTGCTCTATTACTTCGTATCCAACATAAATTTTAGTTTTATATCTTATATATCATATACTTAAAATAAAAAATCTAAAAAAATTAAAAGTTAAATAATCTATCGAATACTTTTTAATGATAATGATAATCCCTACGATAATCCCTACCGATCTAGTTTCATGTTCAAGAACACTTTGATACTTAAAAATACTCCAATTAAGCTCTGTAAGTGTAGGACAGTGGTTGATGAATCAAACTATTAAACATTTTGAGAAATTAGGAAAATAAAATTGCATGCTCCTTAGTTAGATAATTAAATTAAAATGCTAGGTTAGTTGATGTCACACTCAATAATGTGATACAACTAACAAATTGTTTTCTATCACAAAGTTTCACCCATTATGTAATTAGAGAGGTTTAGTCATTGAAGAAAATGATATTAGTAGGCACCAATAAAGCCATCAAAAGTGGGATTTTCATATAATATATTCAAAATTATTGCAACTGTCATAATAAATTATCTCAAAATTATTTTAACAAGCAAAACAAAACAAAACAAAACAAAAAAAGTAAAATTATATTTTGGAGATTGACATGTGTATCAAACAACTAATGATTAATCGAGTAACAATAAGAAAAAAAAGATACTTGAATAAAATAAAGTGACACATTATACCGAACTAGTTCAACTACATTAGATGACTCAATCGAACAATTTACTTTCTCTTATCATGTATTGAATCAATATTTTTCAAATAGTCAGTAAACGATGATATCATCAAACATAAAACTAAAAGGGAGGAATAAAAAACAAACCAAATGGATCAAATATGAGAATCTAAAATAATAAAATTGATCTAAAATCTAGAGGCACTCTTAGTAAAATTTGGTTTCCCTAGAAAGGGGGTATGAGGGGAGCCTAGAAANAAAGGTAGGGGGGGGGGGGGGGGGGGGGGGGGAGGGAATCAAAGATGAAGGAATTAGGGTACCACTAATTGAGGAAGCAAAAGATAGGAAACAAAATGGACAAGGGAGCTATAGCATAATGATTATTGGTAGTGGAGGAGGTGATAAAAAAATAAAATAAAATAATAATAATAATAAGAAGAAGAAGAAGAAGAAGGAACAATAAAGTAAAAGAGGGAGCATGGTTTTTTTTTTTTTTTTTTTTTTTTTTTTTTTTTTTTTTTTTTTTTTTTTTTTTTTT